GCCATGTGGCTAGGTATGACATTTTGTCTTATACGTTCATCTTGGCGAAAAACAAACGATGATTATAGCTGAATTCGGTGCGGTGTTCTACTCGGTCAAATTCAAGGACTTCGATGATCGTGGGATGCGGCGACAAGCCGATCGAGAATTCTCTAGAAAAGCTGAATTAGAATCGCAAATCGCGAAGCAAAGGGAAGAGTACGTGACCGATGATCTGACGAAATGGCTATTTTATTCATGCTTGTTCCAGTCATGCACGGCAAGAGGCAGAGAAAGCTCTCGCGGTCAAGGTTTCGAGTGGAAGCAGCTCAAAGATCATTGTGCCTGGAACACCGAGACATGCTGGCCTTGCAGGCAATCGGGTTGGTCAGACGCCTAGAAGACAAGTCGGGATATGATGGATGTATTCATTCATGGACTGCTTGCGTGTTTCATTTTATCAATACTGTTGACATCTATTGCATCCTGAAAAAAAAGTGTGTACAGTGATTCGTCGCGCAGGAAGGTTAGTCAGACTCATAGTCTCCTAGTGTCCTGTAACTGAGTGAAGACTGTCGTCCCTTGACTGTTGCGCCAAAGAACAGTGATCCTGAAAGCTGGTGTTTCAGTATCGCGGACACTGGTATTGATGCAGATTATGGTAAGCCAGCGTGTTTACATGTCCAACACAATCATTGGCTGCACGTGACCCTCGCTGGCATGTCGGACGAGACCGGCCGAGTGACTCGGTAAGCACAACTAAAATTTACGGAGAGCTTCTTAAGGCACCCTTCCAACTTTTTCTCCACTCAACATGGCCTCCTTCGCGTCTCGTTCAGCTTCAGCCCTACGTGCTGCTTCTCGTCGTGCACCTCGTGCAGGCGCAAAAATTGCAGCCAAGCCTGCACAGAGTGCGTCCTACTCTTTACTCGCTCGTCAGGCTTTAGCAGGCACCTGGCGCAAACCTGCCCTCCAGGTAAAAAAAAAGTATTGGCGTGATTGATGAGTGCTGACGGTCTCATAGTCCGCTGCTCGGGGCGTAAAGACGCTCAACTTTGCTGGCACCGAGGAGGTTGTTTACGAGCGAAGTGACTGGCCGCTTGCGAAGCTCCAAGATTACTTCAAGAATGATACCCTTGCTCTCATTGGCTATGGTTCTCAGGGCCACGGTCAAGGCTTGAATGCTCGTGACAACGGTCTCAATGTCATCGTTGGTGTCCGTAAAGATGGCGAGAGCTGGCGGCAGGCCATGGAGGACGGTTGGGTATGTTCACCTCTGCTTCGGCTTTCAGGCATCTGATGTAAAACTGGTACGCTATTAGGTTCCTGGAGAGACTCTCTTCCCCATCGAAGAAGCCATCAACCGGGGCACGATCATTATGAACCTTCTCTCTGATGCCGCACAATCACAAACGTGGTCCACCGTTGCACCTCTAATCACCAAGGGCAAGACCCTCTACTTCTCACACGGCTTCTCGGTTGTATACAAGGAGGACACCAAGGTTATACCTCCCACAGACGTCGATGTCATCTTGGTCGCGCCCAAAGGTTCTGGCCGTACTGTCCGCACCCTGTTCAAGGAGGGTCGTGGCATCAACTCTAGTGTAGCTGTCTTCCAAGACGTCACGGGTAAGGCCATGGAAAAGGCTGTTGCTCTCGGTGTCGCTGTCGGCTCAGGGTACATGTACGAGACTACCTTTGAGAAGGAGGTTTACTCCGATCTCTATGGTGAACGTGGTGTGCTCATGGGTGCCATCCGTAAGTTTATTCTCAAGGCAAGATATGCATGTTCTTAGCTGATGGTGTATCAGAGGGTCTGTTCTGTGCGCAGTACAAAGTGCTCCGTGCCAACGGCCACTCTCCTTCGGAAGCCTTCAACGAAACTGTTGAGGAGGCCACTCAATCCCTATACCCCTTGATTGGACAGAAAGGGTAAGTGTATGTTTCCTTTCACATACCTTTCTCTCATTGTTTGTAGCATGGACTACATGTACAACGCCTGCTCCACGACCGCTCGCCGCGGTGCTCTTGACTGGGCACCCATCTTCGAGAAGACCAACACTCCTATATTTGAGCAGTTGTACGAGAGTGTGCGAAACGGCACGGAGACCCGCAAGTCTCTCGAATTCAACGGTCGCTCGACGTACCGCCAAGATCTGGCCAAGGAGCTGAAGGAGATCGACGACCAGGAGATCTGGCGTGCCGGCAAGACTGTGCGGTCGCTGCGCCCCGACTACAAGGCTGAGTAGATGTGCTTACAGTTGGATCGGAGCAGCCCATGCTTACATTTACTTTTGTTATCAAAAGCGCCAAGGTGGTGCATGCTATGTCGAAGAGCATAATGTATAAAAGCGATTTTTGATTACGTGTTACGACTTATTGATGATACTCTAGCCTGTGGCCCCGTACACAGGTTGTTCATACCCACTCTTTTCGAGTTTTGAATGGGCGATCCTTGTGCCTGGGTGAAGCTTGGAGCTTGGATGTTGATGCAAACAGCAAGCAGTGGCTACCGAGCCTTGATAGTGACGTGTTTGGTCCCCGTCGTGTTGTCTGTTGACAACTTGACTTAAGTGTGCTATCATAGAGCAGAGCCAAGGACAACGAAGATGGATTCATATTCACGAAGCTCTCAAACTTCCTCTCATGTTCCGCTTACAATCAATCCTTCTGCATTTCTGTCAAAACTTTCAAGACCATTTAAATATATGTACGTTCATCCTACATCGTCGTTCATTAAACGTACTTCACAGATACACACATCTTGGCCATTCTTAACACGGAGATTGCACGCGAAAATCCTGTGGAGGACAAGCACCATCGGCTCATGCGCAGTCACCGAAGTAATCCGTCCGTATGACAGAGAGTTCAAATCCATTGCCAAGATCAGGGATGAACTTGATTGTGAAAAGCCCATACGATTGTGGTCTACGACACGACATGGGTGAGGCCCAATCAACACCCTATGTGCGCGATTCAGATATTTCTGCTTCACCGCATTCACGATCCTTCGATAAGCCTCGACCTTATTGTCAGAATGGTAGCGCTGATGGTGGACGCGAACGTTCCATACATCAAGCATCACGACGCCCTGGCCACGAGCAGATACTATTCGTGCCAGTGATTTGGCGAAGTATTGGAGGAGATGGGAGAGCGAGCGGAGATGGTTTTTTTTTTGACATGTGAGACTGCAGGATGATTGTTATTTTCTGACGCGTAGGCTGCTGTTTTACTATGTGTTGAGCTTGACATCGGGGGACTACCTGACACAATAGTAGGTATCGCGGCCTGCACATTCAGTGATTATAGCCAAGTTTAGTCTGGTGTTCAACGGTTTGTTTCACCTTGTTTTATGTTCTACTCGATCAATTGAACTCAAGAGGCTTTGATGATTAGACTCGATGCAACTTGCCTCGTAGACAGATTGGTCATGAGTCTATATTTGATGATCGCGACGAGCTGGTCAAGAATTCTCAAGAAACAGTGCGACGATCTCATGAAACGGCTATTTATTGACACGCGGGAATGCATGGCTTCGGCAATATTTGATAGACGGAGAACGTCCTCGCGGTCGAGGTTTAGAGTGAAAGCATATTTATGCCTGACATGGTGACATCGGCTGTCGCGACAGCTAGGGCCAAAAGCTGACGCTAAGGGGTCGGGGCATGATCCATCCGTATGCTTCCGCATAAGCTGCGTAGGTTGCTTGTGTACATAGCAATGTCGCGTCTGGAGTTAAATATATCATTATTGTGTGTACAGACAAGAACATAAATGTTTTAGATTCATCGAAAGGCGCGACATACGGTGATCTGCCACACGCCCGCTAAGTCGGATGCACCAATGGACGGTGGAGCTATCAATATGCGACATGTTGCCCCTAGTAACCTGAGATCCTCACTTACCTTCAGACTGCAAGTATCATGGCGGCACCGCATGAGAACCAAGTGCGCTTGACTCACTCATCACCGCTAGACACCTTGGTTCGGCGAACTTCGTCCAAACGACAGGCTGTCCAACGAAAAGAAGAACACGAAGCTAAGAAGCAGGTTACTGCCATTAATTCCTCTTTGCCAGTGCAATCTTCCTCTCGGTTAACTGGTTTTCCAGCATCGTTGAAGGTCCAGGATTCGACTCTGCATGTAACTTCTCCGCCGGGGCTATATGCAACTAGCCCGAGAGTGCCCGAATCTCCTCTGCTGCACTCGCAATTCCGTATTTCGACAGCTAGCAATGCTGATTATCTTAACAGGAAGTCATTTCTGTCATTGACGGACGAACCGAATGGATATTATGACGAGCTTGCGTCGTATTATGAAGAGAATAGTATGTATTCACTGCAAAGTCACACCCCCGGCGCTTCTGCAGACAGCCACCGTGCTTGGCATACCACCGCAGAACCTGCCAGTGGCTCCGCGAACGTGTTGAACACACAACCCTCGGTTCATAACATGCGTCTGTTCAACTCAAGCACTCCCGTTCCAACTGTCGTGGTTTCCAAACCTCAGGATATCGACAAGCAGGTCGCTGTTAATGAGCCAAAACCCGGCGGGAGGTCACCCATAGTCGACCCTACTCCCCGCATAAACTTCTCCAGGCCAGGAAGACCGCCAATATTCTCTTCTGAAGAGCAAAAGCGCCTGGTTCTTGAGCGAAATTCACAAAGAACCCGTTCTCCACGGACCGCTCATACCCCACTTTCATTTACCCCAATTACGCCACAGACGGGCATAAGCTTTCCTGAAACCCAATTTTTGTCGCCTACACCACAGTCCGATGCATGCTCGCCAGCGTCCTATCTTCAACCAAACTATGCTGTTTCTTCTCCAGCTCTCTCATCCCCCTCCCATGTACAGCTTCCCTCTCGCCCGCCGTCTGTACATCCAAGCTCGCCAACAAGCTTGTACTCCACGTCATACTCATTTTACCATCTGAGCGATGGCTCTCCATCCCCAACTGGCAATTCAAAATTTCCTGCTCATTCACCTTCCCCGCCGGGCAACTGTTCACCTTCCACCGAGCCTTCGACTCCACAGGAGTATCTTCAGCTAGGGATACAATACCACGAGGCCAACAAACTGCAGGACAGTGCATTTTACTTTGAGAAAAGTGCAAAGGAACAGGGTGGGTGTGGGATAGGGATGCTCTTGTGGGGATTGACGCTGAGGCACGGGTGGGGGTGCGAGAAGAATGAGAAAAATGCTTTCAAGTGGTTAACAAAGGCCGCGGAAAGCGCAGTGGATGATCTGGGCAAAGCGAGGGAAGGCATGGACGTGAAGGCTGTTAGAGTGAGTTTGGCCTGTGGGGCTGTATATGGACGTGCTGATGAATCTTCCTCAGTCGGAGCTCGTGCTAGCAATTTATGAGGTCGGGCAGTGCTTCTTTCATGGCTGGGGTGTAGCTAAGGACCACAAGATGGCAGTTGTGCGTTGCCACTAATTCTTTCTAGACTTATGCTAACCAATCTTCAGAGTTACTATCGAGTTGCTGCCAACCTTGGTGACGGAGATGCGCAAGAAGGTCTCGCTTTCTGCCTAGCCAATGGCAAAGGGTGCAAGAAGGATAAGAAGGAAGCTGCTAAGTGGTATCGCGCGGCTGTAAGTGCAACCAGCGTAATTCTTGCAAATTATACGTTAACGTGGTTCTGTAGGTCGAACAAGGTGCTAGTGACATAGGGATGGCGTGGATCTACAAGGACAAATACAAGGGCTAGCGCGCTAGCCGGGGATGAAAAATCCTGCACCGCGGAACAGAGCCGCCCTGCGCATCATTAGCGACGCCCACAAAATGCCCGTCTTTGGCTGGATCCTCACAGCAGACGGTGAATAAAAGGGCTCCTCCAGGAGAAGGAGAGATCATGAATTTCTGTCACATATACCCATGAATATAGGAGTAGTGGACAGGACAATGGATATACCATTTTGGACAAGTCATTTAGTGCATGTATCCTCGAACTGCGATTTAGATATACAAGCTCTTGTCATCCTTTGCTTTGCCATTTGAAGTACTTTGTTGGTCAAATGCTTCGACATGAAGGACAAGGCGCCAGGGGAGCATAACTTGGCCGACGAAGCGACTAGCCTCGTTTCCCAAAATGTACTCCTCAGTGTTGACGAGGATGATATTTAAAAGTTGGTCGGTGCCCATGAATGTGCCAATAAACACTCGATTATCGGTCGTCGTGATACGAAGGGTTGTAGTGAGCAGAGACTTGAGCGCCGCAATAGACGGAGACGTGCTTTGATCAGTGCTTGAGGGCGACATCGATGGTGAAAGCAACGAGGATAATTCAAAGGAGGCCATATCATAATAACGTGCAAGTAATATGTGAAGAAGAGCCGACGCTGTAAACTCGCACGCTAACTGCCGTCAAGGTTGCAAGACTGTAATGAACCCTTTCGCCAGTACAGTGTCGCTGAACATGCAAGGCCAATATAACACGCCAAACACTCACAAGTATTCAGTTATCCTGCCAACCTACAATGAGCGGAAGAACCTCCCGATTATTATCTGGTTGCTGGCGAAGGTCTTTGAGGAACAGTGCGTTCTGTCTACCTAACATGCCGAAAGCCAGACTGAGTACACCAGTCAGCTCGCATGGGAGGTCATTGTCGTAGATGATGCGAGTCCGGATGGGACACAAGAAGTAGCCATTGAATTGGCAAGGGTTTATGGCGAGGACAAAATAGTGAGTGCAAATGAATCACGCGTCGAGGTTTGACTTATTGTTGGTCAAGCTTCTTAAACCACGGGCAGGGAAACTTGGACTCGGGTAAGTACTGGTAAAAATCAAAAGCGAATACATCGTCGACCTGTGTGCAGGACTGCATATATACATGGGCTCGACTTCTGCACTGGTGACTTTGTGATAATAATGGACGCCGACTTTTCGCATCATGTACGTGCCTCAACATCCTTTGACACACATGTTCTAATGTGCATCCATCCCCTCAGCCCAAGTTCATTCCGCAATTTATCAGGTGTGTTGTTCTTTTCCTAACTTTTCCTCATTAACAATGTGCAGATTACAACAAGCACACAACCTCGACATTGTGACAGGAACGCGATATCGTTCAACATCCACTCCGTACCTCGCTGAAGCTCAACCTGGTGGTGTGCATGGCTGGGACCTGAAGCGCAAACTAGTTTCACGAGGGGCAAATTTCCTGGCTGCTACTGTACTCAACCCCGGCGTGAGCGACCTAACGGGCAGTTTTAGGTACGTAGATTGGTCTGGGAAAGCAGACTAAAACCTGATGCTGGTGTAGACTGTACCGACTGCCCGTCCTTCGGCATATCATTACGCTGACACAGTCCAAGGGGTACGTGTTCCAGATGGAGATGATGGTGAGGGCACGAGCGCTGGGCTACACCGTTGGCGAGGTGCCGATCACTTTTGTGGATCGGATATTTGGGGAAAGCAAGCTCGGTGCAGACGAGGTTGTGGGCTATGCAAAGGGTGTGTGGCAACTATTCAAGTCGGTTTAAAAGTGCTATGAACATGTCATGAGGCCTAATTATAATTTACGGTACTTCGTTCTGTTTTTGTCCAATAGTGAATTCATTGGAGTTTATCGACATTGTTATGAGTCACATGACCACACTTGGGCTGTGGGCTGTGGCTGTGGCTAGATGATATCATGATGATTTTGTCAGCCTGTGGTTTAAATCCAAAGCTTCGTCTCTACTTCACCTCATCTAGATTCTAAACCATCTGCGCAAACAATGAGTTTGCTACAAGGCGTGCTTAAATCGCAATCACAAACTCATGATTTGAATGGGCAATATCTGTCTTCCAGGCAATCCCAGCCTGAGAATGACTCAGATGATGAGCTCGTTGGAGTGGTATGCCTCCATACCGTCTACTCTAGTATCAATTACTCAATATATTCTCAAGTTCTCACTGCCAGGGACGCCAGCGAGGTCGAGGGGACCTTCACGCCCCTCATCGCGCCCTGTGTCACCAACACGAAGGGGTCTTACTCGCTCGTCGAGTGGACTGCCATTGAAGGGCCTCTCGAGCGACCCCCTAAAGGCATTTCCAACTCAAGTATCGCAAAGAATTTTCAGATGGCTTGGGATATCTGAGCTCGCGACTTGCGCTAGGGTATCGAGGAAGTGGAATAAGAGTCAGACACTGAACTACAGCAAGTCAAACATATATTATCTAGCGTGCTGTATGCTAATGATCTGCTGTGTTACAAGTTTGGTTTCAGCATTATAGGAAGGAAAACTTCCATGACGAAAATCTTCCCCCTGGAAAGTGGACCAGAAGGGAGTCAAAGCAGAATTGGGTGGGTAGTTTATCTTCCTGTGTTTGGTTGCATGACTTGATGATTTATTCTCAGCGGATGACCTACATTAAATCTGTGCCAAATCGCTCGCCTCCATCATCACCGTTGCCTTCGAGAGGCTCGGGCCGCACTTCACCGTCACAGTCGGGCTATCAAACGCCCAAAGAACTTAAAGAGGAGCAATGGCGACAAGAGGAGCTTACACAAAGCCGACCAGGCAAGTTGGAGATGAGAGAAATGTACAAGGAGCTGGGTGGCCGTAAGAGCCGCACCAAGGGAAAGCTGGGAAGTTCTGGAGGCCATAGAGACCGGACGGGTTGGGGAGAAGGAGACGATGAGTAACATAGAAGCTTGCAAGGTGATATGTACATGTAAATTTATAGTTTTCTTGGAGATTATTACAAAAGTTGTGGGATATGTTATATAAGATTTGATAAAATTCCTAATGGTGCTCTACTAACTGAGCAAACGCCGAGCGCATCAACTTGATAAACCGGAAGATATCTCTCGTTTCGTTTAGTTCATTGAGCAGTATGGGGAGATTAGGCAGTGGAGGTGTGGTCGTTATCACTGGTTGGCATCTGTAAGTACCACCTTTTGAGATAGGCCATTAAATTGCGTACCTTGAGTTGATTTGGATGCAACATCGAGCACGAAGCTGAACTCACGGTCAATGTCAGTCTTGTCTATGTGTGTAAATCGGATGAGGAGCCGGTCCTTCTCTATTCCCTCGATATGACAACGTAGACGGGTTTCGCAAGCATTTAATTCAGGCCCTGTTTGTGCTGCATGCATCTCTAACGTCTGCCGCTCTCGATCTTTTTCTGCAGAAGGTAGTCTAATCAGCGTAAGCAAAGAAATTACAACAATAATGCCTACCTCGCTTTAAATTGGCAGTTAGAGCACGATACTGCTCTATCTCCGCATCCACGGACTGGCAAGTTTCGCGGATGGATGCGAGTTGACGTTTCAGAGCGATAATTGATGTCTCGGCTTCTCGGAGTTCCTCCTTTTCCCTTTCCATTACTGAGAGACGTCACTGCTGCACAATTACACCACGACAAGCATGACCACTTACCAGCCAGCAGCTCAATTTCCTTTACCTTGCACTGATTAGTTTCAGCCTTGACTGCAACAGTCTTCTCGGCCAAACGTTTCTTGTCCGCCTCCTGAGCATTCCTGTGTTTGGTGATCTCTGCTACTGCACGATTTGCATAGTTGGTGACCGCTCTGAGAAAATTAGACGTAGAAGCTTCGTATGCGTGCAAGCGCAGATCGACAGAAGGGTTAGGCTCTGCGAGGATTGAAGCAAGATCAATATGAGTAGGTCGAACTTGAGGCATGGCCAATCAGTCAGTAATATTGTCAGCAAAGTTTTGGACTCCCCTCCAGAACGCGTCCGTCATGTGACCGTATCAATTATCTAAATGAGGTATAAGAACCAAACCATAGTACTTAAATTCATCTTCGTACAAAGATCGATAGCAAGATCGATAGGTCAGGAACCTCTAGGATATCAACTGAGATATTCTGCATGGCTCCCCTTCCATCTAGATCAGATTCACCCCAATATCGAGACATACATATGGACACGGCAAAGGGCATCACGTTGGGACTTCGGGACGTCCACATGGGTACCGCAAAGCCTGGCGGCGGCGCATGGTCTGACGACATTTCAATGGACACTGCACGAAACGCGACCACCGTGAAAGCAGGTGGGTTTCAGCTCTGGGAGAGGGAGTTGCTCCAGAGTTCCGAAGTCAAGCGCAAAGCCACCGTTGCCCAATTATGTGAGCATTTCACTTTGAGACCTTCCGCGATCTCATTGTCTATGCTCCTGCCAGTCTTTCTCGACTATTACTTTATGAACCTTGGATATATCGCGTCCAGGAAGGAAAGGAGGGCACGCTTTGACGCAGATACTGCCAAAAGGCAGCTAACAGCCGCCGAGTGCGCAAAGGAATTCAAATCGTATTGCGGGCGAGAGAGAGTTATTCTGAGGAAACGCAGAGCAAAGCTGAGGGTTGACCAATTTCACATCATCGCACAAGTGGGGCAGGGTGGTTATGGTGAGGTGTTCTTGGCACGGAAACAGGACACAGGAGAGATATGCGCTCTCAAGAAGATGAAGAAACGTACATTGTTCAAGATGGACGAGGTTTTTTTTACCCCACTAGCAGATACGCGTGAGGACTGATGCATTCCAAGGTGCGGCACGTCCTAGTGGAGCGCGACATCCTCACCGCAACCAAGACACCGTGGCTCGTCAGACTTCTATACGCATTCCAGGATGCGCAACACGTGTATTTAGCAATGGAGTATGTTCCCGGAGGCGATTTTCGTACTCTCCTCAACAACTCTGGCGTTCTCAAGGAAGAGCATGCAAGGTTTTATATTTCAGAAATGTTTGTCGCTGTCAACGAGCTTCACAAGCTTGGTTACATTCATCGTGACTTGAAGCCGGAGGTGAAACTGTCGCATGCGCAGGCTCCGTAGTACTGATAGCGCCTCCAGAATTTCCTTGTGGATGGCACCGGACATGTCAAGCTGACTGACTTCGGCCTTGCCACAGGTGCTCTCAATCCCAAGCGCATTGAATCGATGAAGTTGAAGGTACGTGTGTGGCCCTGAATTCATCCAGTGTGCCCTAATATTTCTCAGCTCGATAAAGTGAAAGACGTCCAAGTTGTCTACCGCTCCACCCTGGAACGCCGCTCAATGTACAAATCTATCCGCGCTGAAGACCCACGGTATGCAGACTCCATAGTTGGCTCACCTGACTACATGGCGCCCGAGGTCCTCAGAGGCAAACCATACACTTATTCAGTCGACTATTGGTCGCTAGGTTGCATATTCTTCGAATTTCTCGCTGGTTTTCCACCGTTCAGCGGCAGCACGCCGGAGGAGACCTGGACAAACCTGAAGAACTGGACAAAGGTACTGAGAAGGCCAGAGTATGATAAGCCCGAAGACTTGATCTTCAACTTGACGGATATTGCATGGGATGCTGTGACTAGGTACAGGACTTGCTACCGCGCACTGTCTGACGACGCTGAACCCTCTTGTTTCTTGTTCAGGCTCATCTCGCACTCAAGCGTTCGATACTCCACTCTTACCCAAGTCACAGGTCACCCTTTCTTTGACGGGATGCAGTGGGATGACCTCCGCTCAACACGCGCACCGTTTGTGCCTGCTCTTGACTCAGAAATTGACACTGGATACTATGATGATTTCACTTCTGCGGAAGACATGGCGAAGTACGCTGAAGTGAAAGACAAGCAGCGAAATGTGGAGAAGGTGAAGGAAAAAGAAGAGCCAGAAGCCCGCGGTGTCTGGGTCGGCTTTACTTTCGGCAAAAATGGTCCAGGAGGAAAGCTGTTTGGTTCATTGGATTCGAGTCAAGACGACGGTGGAGCGCTGGCTACTATATTTTGATTTTGATTTTGATTTTTTGGTGGAAACGATGTTGCTAAGTGACAACTGACCAAGTCAGCCTCAGATAGCACGTTGTAGTACGGGGATTGCACCCATAAGATGTAGGAAAAGTAATAGTAATAATCACCTGGGGGAACAGGTTCCTTCCCATCCACAGTGTCGAGAGAAGAGGTTGTTTTCTAAGTAAGTTCAAGGCACGATGTAAGCACGCCGGCTTACCTGAGTTCCCATAATCAGTACATATACTGTCGCTGATGCTGAAAGCTAAGCTTTCAGTATTTCACCTTTTGGTGTAACAGTTATGTGGGCGGCAGTCTGACCATGTTACATATACTGAAAGCTTAGGGTTTGCAGGAGGTTGGGCGTTCCAACCCGCTCCAGGTCAAATTCCAAGGTTCGCCCTTGGGGTGACCATATGTACTCTCCCGTTTTGGATAAATTCCCACACAAACAACAGTGCCTTCGCGATTGGGAGCAGGACTGGTGGGGGATAAAAAGATCTGATAATGTGGGAGGGTGTAAGCACACTGGCTTACCTGAGTTCCCATAATCAGTACATATACTGTCACTGATGCTGAAAGCTAAGCTTTCAGTATTTCACCTTTTGGTGTAATGGTTATGTGGGTGGCAGTCTGACCATGTTACACACGAGAACGAACATAAGTAGAACAAGGTCTATGTGATGACACAGCCTTTCACATTCTCACCCTTCTTGCTTCATACTACCACACAGTATTTGCAAGTCCCCTTCTGCTCGACTACACTGTGGTTTGGTCGCATTTTTTCCTATCTGGGAGGCCAATATTAATAGTGTGGAAAAGCTGTTATGGCAGCAACAGACAGATGATGACAGAGAACAGTAGGCTCACCTGCAGTGTTTAGAGGATGAATGGGAACATTCAAACCAAGAACATATCACTGAAGAGGAAACTGCTTGCAAAGAAGAAAGGAAGAAGAACATGTTGGACTCAGAGAGATCTGAGATGAAGAAGACCAAAGGATCTGACCTAGGTATGGAGAGCAAGTGAGTGAGGTACAAGCGCAAGCCAAGAATGGACTAAGGTGAACGACATATTGATGTTGGCTCACATCCTCCCTTTATTTTATGTTTCGCATTTATTTCCTACAGTAGTCAAGCCACCCAGCTTAAAAGGGCCAGCAGTAGCACCCAGACATCTCAGTTCTTTTCAAGAGACTGAGATCGTGCTTGTCCTTATAGACTCCTCGTCCTTTTCGCTTGTATTGTTAAGGTCACTGTCTTAATAACTGAGGGTCTTATATAAATGCATGTAAAATGTAATGACACCACAATTACACTAGGATAAGACTTCTTGCCAGTCCTTGATTAACACAGTCTACAACTTTCCTTCTTTTGTGGTAGATAACATGTGAGTTCTTGGGAGGCTTGCTAAACCAATCTATGTGATTAACTTAGCCAGAGCTTTTGTGTTATATCCCAACTTATAAACTTGTCTAGGATAAACCATCTAGACACTGGAACATGGTTCCTTGTTAAGATGATTCTCTGTAAACTACAGTCTCAAATACAAATACATTGACCAAAGACTGGTTGGTCAAATAGGCACAAAGTGGTGAGAAACTGGTCTCACAAATGGTCAGATTGACCAAAGCTTGTGTTGGTCAATATTGGAAAACTAGGTGAGAAGCGGGTCTCAAATAAACTAAGTTTCTATTGTAAGAAACTTATGTAATCTCAAGGGAATGTCTTTTCCCTGCACTTGGTACTTCAAAGGGGCTTTCTTTGTAAGCAACAATCTTCACAGTGAGTAGTTCTAATTGAGATTCAAATGATTACAAGTGGGAGATCCTATTTTTTGGGGGAGAATGTGCCCTCCTTATATACATATTGTGTGGGAATATTATGTAAGTAAAAAAGCGGAGCAATGACATCAGAAGTGGAGCAGAATGTTCCAGAATATTCCATAGGTGGAGTAATGACATCAGAGGTGAGTCATTGTGGAGCAGAACATTCCAGAACAAATGACATCATCATGACATCATAACTTTCAACAGAATACTTGCAGGAGTATCTGTGGAGCTATATGACATCATTATGACATCATACCCTGTAGGTACAATTTTGTGAAGTATCTGATGGGTCAGAGCATCCCAATAGAAAAATAAATCAAGGAAATACTAGAGAAAACAACTCAGAAATAATAATACAATAACAAGACACAAAACACAGGCTTTTTAGATAGGTTTTTGTTAGGCTTTGAACTTTTCTCTATGGTTTTCTCTAGCCAAAGTGAATAAGCCAAAGACAAGGCAATACCTTAACCTTCTTGCTTCACAATATCAACTAGGTCATTATGTGATTCCCATCTCACAAATGACTTTTCTTCAAGATATAATAAATTCATGAATCACAGAGGGGAAACTGAACTATTTGACCAAGGTTTGAAACCAAGGTATGGGTTGACTAGCCTGATGCCTAAGCTAACAGACTTTGTCTTTTAGGGGGCTACCTAGTAGTCATGTCCATGCTGTTACGATTGTGGTTACCCCTATCTCTTTTCTCCTTTCTTTACTCGTGTACTACGCCATGACCGCACCTGTTCGTGCCATCATTAGGCAAGCATCCTTCCATATCTGTATTACAGCATGATCGCCATGAGCCATCACTAGCTGACTCATATCCCTTATCTCTGACTCACCCATGACGTCACTAGCTGACTCATGTTTCTTATCTCTGACTCGACTCATGACGTATGCGTACCTGCCCTAAACGTACCTACGCCTATATAAACCCGGTCATGTACCTAGATAAAACTTCACTTTAATCTACTAGGTTTTACCTGAACTATCCTTCGCTTAGGACCCCCAATCCTAAATCGTCTGATAACCGATATTCAAGTCGGAGACACTCTCTCTTACTTGTCTTAAAGAACCTTACATTTGTGAGGACATGATCCGGCTTTAGGCATACTCTTATCGAGTACCTATCGCCGCGCCCATCCTAGTCGACCTACGGTTCGCCGTAACACATGCATGATTCCAAAATCATGCAGGATATTGCATGCTCAAGGGGGTCAGATCACAAGGGCTTGGCCTCAGCTTGTATGCTGTGCCCCTTTCCTGAGTATGTGCCCTTGATTTCCAGGGGCTAGAACAGTCATCTGGAGTTTCCAGGATTTGACTAGGGCGGACAATGGACATCCGGATCTGAAATGTGAGATAAATCTGATGGATGTCCGGATGTTACTTGGACAAGCAGATAAGGCTAATCCAGATGAAGTCTGGACTAGAAACTAACAGGGGATAGACTACCCTAAGGTAGAGCCAGAGATGTAGTCTAGGATACAATCCTAAGACTTGGAATATGACAAGAGACTTGGCTTGAGTCTGGAGGACACAGGAATGAGCAGGAACTAAGATGATATTCCAACTGGAGTATTTCTGAGAGTTACAGGAGGTTTATATACTGTAGGTATCATATAGGAATCAGTCAGCAGACATAAAGGCTATGTATGAAGCATATGCAAGGTCTATTAGTAAGTAGGACAGATCACCAATAATGCATATCAGAAATGAAATGTATGTAACAGATCAATAATCAGAAGGGAAACATAGTTAACTGGAGTCCAGAGACAGGGGAAGTCTAAATGGGGTTGGGCACTGATATAGGGTTTGGATTCTGGAAGGAAGATAAAGATAGATCAGATCATTGGAGATCCGGATCTCAGATCTGGATATCTGGAGAAGTGGATTTAGAGTTGAGGGTATGGAATGGCATATGACATGTATAATAACTGCAGAACAAACATAAGTATATACCTATCCTTGCCACCAGTATTCCAAACAATCCAACTATCATGCCCTGCTCCTATGCTCTAAGAAAATTGGACAAAGGCAAGTACATTGAGTTGTGGTACTTCACTAACATTGATGGCTTGGATGAAGCCAGTCTGAAGATCATGATCAATGATGATGCTATGACACTATCAACATTAGCTGATAGATTGATCATCAGGAAAACCTTGAGTCCCTTTTCAACTCTTAATTTCCTTTGGCAACTTCATAAGGTACATAAGGATGTTTAAGGATGCCAAAGCCATCATTCTGTTACTTAGCAAACTTTGAGTGAATATTTCTGAGGAAGATAAAATTTTAAGGAAGGTTGTGTCTATAAGTAATGCTAAGTAAAAAATTGCATGCCAGGAAGGACATAACAATGTTGGCCTCATCCATTGTAAGTAGGTGTGAGAGCATGTGTTAAGGTCATACTCAAAAGGTTATGGATCTTGTCATACCCGCATATCTGGATCTCAGATCAGATCCACATCTTATCTCCATCCAACATCTCCTCATGCCATCTGTCCACTCATCTGGTCTGGTCCACAACTCATCTGAATCCACAACCAGCACTCATCTCCTTTTGGTAACCCCCTGACTCTGGTACTTTGGTTATCTATATATCCACCCTGCTCACTGATCCATTACCTATGCTTTATTTCCATTTCATCATTAGTGATCCTTTCCTACTTACCAATAGACTGTCCATATGTGTTAAGTTCATACTCAAGGTTTAACAGATCCTAAGGGCTTCGGCCTCAGCTTGTGTGCTGTGCCCCTTACTTGAGTATTGCCCCTTATTTCAGGAAGGCAAGACTAACGCATCTGGAGGGTTGGATGGGTAGCATAGTGGATCCGGATGACTTCCAGATGTGGGATAAGTATCATAAGGCTAATCCAGATGAGTCCAGACTAGAAGCTAGCAGTAGTGACTGTTGTAGACAGAGGCGGATGTGGATAGACTATAGGAATCAATCCTAAGTCTTGGAGGGTGACGAGAGTAGAGATACTCAGGTCTGGAGGACAGGAATGAGCAGAACTAAGTTGATATTTGAACTGAGGTACTACAGAGAGTTACAGGAGGTTATATGCTATAGGTATCTAATGGAATGATCAATCAGCAGAGTCCAAGGCTATGTACAAAGCATATGGATGGTCTATCGGTAAGTAGAAATGGATCACAAATACAGTGGCTCAAAAAACTGTCCAATTTCATTTACTTATGTTCCATCTTACTTACTAATGACTTTCCATATGCTTATACATAGCCTTACTCCTTTACTTACTGATCCTCTTGGATATCCTACAGTATATAGCCTCTTGTAGTTTCTGAATATCATCTTAGACTTGCTCTCTCAAATTGGACTTGCCCAATCTTCTCCTAGACTTCAGTCCATCTAAGTTCCATCCTTTCTATCAGGCCTAGAGAATCCTTCCCTTGGCCAGAAATCTGGACCTTCAGATTTGTCTCTTATGTCTCTGTTCCAAGTCTAGGGATTGATTTCCTAGGTTAGAGTCTTGCCTTTCCAGCACTTATCCTCTCTCTGGACTTCAGTCCACTTCCTATCTCTCTGGCTCTATCTAAGTGTAGTCTATCTTGGTTTGTTTCTACATCAGACTTCATCTGATGTAGCCCCTATTCCTTCTGTACCTCCAGATATCCTGTCCTCCATACCTCCATACCTCCATACCTTCAGACCTTCAGTCCTCCCATCTTCCATACCTTCAGACTCCCATCCTTTCATGCCTTTGGACCTCCTGTCCTTCCATCCTCCAGATCTCTCCTTCATTGCATTTCCTCTAGAGACATTGCCTAAGGTTCTCCCCACTTCTTGTGTAGTGGAAACTCCTCTGAGTGGTTATGAGCTCTGAGCTCTAGTAGCTCAATTAAACAGCTTAGAATTTGATTAACAGGAACTTCCTGCCCTGATATTGTGTTTGTAACCTCAATTCTTGCATAATTCACTCAAAATCATGGTAAAATCAATTGTCAAGCTGCAAAACATGTCTTGTGCTACTCAAAGGCATGTGGGAACTTCATCTCAACCTCATGGACCCCAATGAGGGCATGTTGGCCCACACTGACACTGATTGGGGCTCACAACCTCACCATCATTCAATTTCAGGACATGTATCACTTGCAGGAATGCCAGTAGCTTGGGGCTTGAGGAAGCAGAACATTATTGCATTGTTGTCAACAGAAGCTAAGTATGTTGCTATGATGAACTTGCTGAAAGATATTATTTGGCTTTGCAGCCTTATCAGCGAAATTCACATGCCCATCATGACTGGTCCCACTCTCATCCTATGCAATAACCAAGGTGCTAATAAGTCCTGTGTTGTTTCATCTCAGGCAATTCCTATCAGACTGGGGTGAGATCCCTGTACTCGTTACCATACTTGACAATCACTAACACTTACCATAGCTGTTTGTTTGTCTTTGCAGGTACTTATAATAATATACCAGAGTCAATTCCTATCAAACTGAACTGTTTGTTTGTCTTTGCAGTCCTTCTGTCCATCACTACTCGCATCATCAACTATGCAGTCTTTATCTTTGACCAAGTTGATTATGATGGGAATTGTACATTTTGCATTGTCAGGTGGTACATTAGGCATGCCTAATTCCCCCTGTTTCCTTGCCAATGTCAAGGGGAAGATTATTTCAACATCAAGGACCTTGGGCTGGTTAAGAAGTTCCTTGGATTTGACTTTCATGCTGACATCTCCACACATTATCCTCCACTGAGGCTGAGTACATATTTCCCACCAGTCCTTCCCATCAGCTTGACCACCTGCAAATGAGCCTTTGCATTAGTAATACTGCTTTAGATTCTCACCGAGTTTGACAGCTTGATCACCATCCCAATGCCATTGGTTTGCAATGTTGAGAGCAGCTGTGCACATCTGCTCAAATGTTCAGCTCTTTGCAGCTTGAGAGACAGCAAGTTTCCAGCACATTGGATGCAAGAAAAGGGCAAGAGCGTGAATATTGGTGTTCATGGCATGATATTCATGATTGAAGACAGCTTTGACATGCATCCAAAAGCCAATGTCCTTGCCATCTTTGATTTGAAGACACATCATCTGCCAAGCACACCAAATTAATTCGAGCATGCAGTCTGCTCAGGTAGCATCCCACAATTCAAGATTTCCAATCACATCGACAATGGGCTTGCATGTTTTGATGAATTGGCCCAGATGTGGCCAGTATTCCATGTCAGAAAGGACAGTTTTGATCACTTCGGGTGCAACAGGTGAGAGGTTGTTTGTCTTCTTTTGGGCATCTGGTTGCACACAAATTCTACCCAGTGCACCTCTGTGGTGATTGAGATTCAATAAATTTGGGTAAATTAAGTGTTTCAAGGACTTACCAATAAGCCTCAATACTCATAGCTTGGAAGATTAATGCATACCAGCATGACTCAGTATTAGTCTGCATCGAATGATTGATGTTCATGCTTCGGGCTTCATTATCCAATTGGCCACCCCAGTAATGAGACTGGTTGAAGTACGAGACAATGCGAGCTGACTTTGTAGCCAGTTTTTCATAGTGGGGTATGAGGCAATCTTTCTGATGATGGTGTTGAGACCATGCAAAAAGCATGCGAGAGTCTGGTTGGGATTACAGTCGTCAGGCTAAATCCATACTTTGTATTGAGCTTGACTTACAATAACCCAGTAATATTCAGATTTAAACTTGCGACAGAAAGATTGCATGATGGTTGGGTCATCTGTTGTCAAAGCAATTAGATTCTTCCCATTTTCTATCTCCATATTCTTCAACACCTTTTTCATGGTCTCCAAATATTTATCAGTGGAGCCTCAATGTCCAGTGAGCTCATCAAGACTTAGGACAGTTGGGTACTGCCCAACCTCTGCTACAACAGAACCATACAAGCTTCGACAGATCTTATCTTCCCATCTGTTGAAGAGAAGTGTCAACCTATGCCTCTGCTTCAGGCGCCCTATCTCTTCTATTGAAACTCATGCATATTCAGAGTCCATGATTGTATGTGATAAGACATAACATAAGGGACGAATATATGATGGCCAAATGTAGTTGATGAATTTGAGAAAGTATGGATTTTTGGTGACAGAAAATGGACTGTTGCTGTGAACTACATAGCTGCATGAAGACTTGGATGAGTATGCAAGCATATTTAGACTTAAGCTTAGCTGGGCTCACTGAAACAGCTTGATATTTGCAGTTTCCTGCTGCACAGGAGTCAATGTGTGATGAACATAATTTTCGAGTGTACCTGCACCAGCCTTCCATTTTTTAATGACAGTGCTTGTCCCAACATCAGATTGAGAATTTCCATTACTGTTTGTTTCAGCAACATCCAAAGCTGGTGTGTCACAGAAAAATGGTGCTTCTGTCTGGCCAACTGCAGCACCTTTCTGCATTAAGACCTTGTGAGCTTTGTTGCGAATGGATGATGGAGCATCCGGGCACTCTTTTGGGTTTGTGAGGTGTAAGCTTGGCCTTCAATGTGTTGACCACTGTCACTGGTTGGAGTGCAATAATTGCACTTCCAGAATTTTCGGCAAGACTTGTTATTGACTCACTCGAGTTCCATGAAGTTATCAGTGATGATTCTAGCTGGTGGGCGGCCACCAGGATGCTTTTCATCAGACATTTTAAGATCTCTGAAGTGCAGGGAGTATGGATGATGGGATGGTACACACCATACAATTCAATACAGGGTAAAAACATAGAGATAGACTTAGTATTACTGATCTGAGCAGCAGATTGATGGCAAATCTGTGAAGAAAATCTGTCACAGATTGTCTGAGTCAGCCTCTACCTACTACTAGATGTGCCAAGTTTTGCCACAGACCCCTCCAAGTTTGCCAGCAATTGCCAGAGTGGCAAAACTGGTGTGGCACAATGGCGCAGTATTGCTAACAACACTAGTGATGGGACAGAGTTTTTGTTTTATCTTCTTACCAAGCTATAGCAAGTACAACAGGGATACTATCCTTTTGAGCAGAGAAGATGGGCTTTATGATGATCATGTTAAAGTTCATGATGGTATGTGGGTTTATATATGTAAATAATATTAAAATCAGACTAAATATTTATTATTGCACCACTTCCATCAAGAATATCATGTGTGAATGGTCTGATTTTGTGATTTGGATATAAAGTCAAAAAGTGTCCAAATGAGTCATGTGATTAGAATTACCATATCTTGCCCATACATGATCTAATTCCCATAATATATATCTCAGATTCTAGCTGGGATGTAAGGCTTTCAGGCATGTTACTATACCTTTATATGGTACTTGTGTGCTGGCTTGCTATTATCCAATTACCTAAAAATGCATAAACATTTGGATACTTTTTTGAGCCACTGTACATTCAACAGGGCATTGTTACTCCTGAGCAAAGTGGCCACAGAGTGCATCTCAGCTGACAGTAAGATGATCCACTTCATCTAAAATCACCACTATGCCTACATCCATATTTGAACTCCACTGTAAATTATTTGCTTGCACTGATCAATCAAGGTCATCACTCACTTAACTCTGCCACAACAATTCATCTGTCACTTAGCTTAACATTCAAAGATGCAGCCATTCCCAGTATGCACAGTGAGAGACCCTGGTTGTGCCTCCTGCATTGGCCAGTCAGATGAAGCTTGTGTCACCTGCCAGGAGCAGTGCACCAATTGTATGTTTATTTTTACTCAATATTGACAATTTTTACTATACTAAAGTGACACATGTCACAGTTGTCCAACATAAAGATCCTCCACATCCACATGGAAGTTCATGTGATTCTTTGAGTGAATGATACTGCTAGGAAAATGACTGAACAACCAGGATGTGAGTGCCAGGAATAAGAGAAAGATTGATCAGAAGAAGAGGCAATATTTGGAGGGAGATGTCAGGAAGGTGGAGCAGCATCTGGAATGCATGAGGGAAGTCAACAAGAATGCCAAACTCAGGTGCAAAGAACTAAGACAGCAGTTGCAGTACATTAAAAGGCATCTAGGGAATAAGTAGTTGTAGTGCTTTCAATATATTGTACAATTCTGAAAAAAAAAATTGTATTAAACTATGGTTGTCTGAATGTTGATAATATTACACACACTCAATGCTTTGTATGGATAAAATTAGGTTCTACATCATAGCCATCCTGTCCTTGCCTGGTGATTTTTGCCTGAATGACAGTCAGTATTAAAGGAGTTGAAGAAGGGTGTCATGATGATCTTACCTATACTTGACTACTGGCACACACTAGATGCAAAACAGAAAAAAGTATGTCAACACCTTTTGATCACATGTACTATGAAGATGAGCTTGCTCTTCTGTTAGTCTCACTCACCTGACATAGGTAGTACATTTGTATTGACATGGAGATAGCCTATGTACCCATTATTCATCAGCTTAAGTTACAAATTTGTGTAAATGCAAGGATGCAGAAGCAATGGGGGAAATAAGTGACAGTGAGTGCCAGAGCAAACTACTCTATTGCTTCCATGGAGAGTGAGGATGCAAGAGCAAAGAAGTAAATGAGACACAGTAAGCATCAGAGTAAACTGCTCTTTGCTCCCATGGGGAGCAAGGACATAACAAGAAAGGAGGGACAGGACTCTAGATACATTGGAGAATAACAGAACTTACAGATGATGCTGGAACTTGTTATCATGATATTTGAACATCACATCATGCCATTTTCTGATGCCATAGGTGCACACACTGTGGACCAGCTGATGTTAAATATATGAAGCATGTATGTAAGTTGATGTTATCATGCTGGATCTATGTATGAAGCATATGCAAAGTCTATTAGTAAGTAGGACAGATCACAAATAATGAACACTGGAAATGAAATGTATGTAATGGATCAATAATTAAAAGGGAAACATAGTTAACCAGAGTCTGGAGACAGGGGAAGTCTAAATGGGGTTGGGCGCAATATCATGCATAAATGCAGGAAGGTCTTCTAGTAGCATGTACATGGATATATTTGGTAACAGACACAGATTGTACAAAAGAGAACAAACAGCGGAAATGATGCTCCTAGACCACACTACTTGTCTGTGACATAACTATGGGATCCCTCCTCTGCATCATCATTGAGGGAATGCTCATCAGTGGAATCCTTTTCTGAGTCATCACTGGACTTGTTGCTCATTAGAATAGATTGATTACTTTAATCCATCTGAACCCCCAGCTACCAAACACTGGATGAGCCCACAGTCTACATTGTGTTCAGGTACCCAGGGCAGAGCCATGAAATCCCTAAATTGATTTTTGAAAGTATTGTTAGAGAAGCAATGATGCTTTCCTGTATGATATCATCAATTGATATCACTATGTTCAAGTCAGAGTGGCCTGGATGAACTTACTGTGGTTCAGGCCATGCATATTTGCCTTGTTATCTGTGAGTTCCCAAAGTAACATGGAAGCATGTACAAAATGATCCCATACAAGCACTTTTGAAGGTCCGATGATGATGTGAGGATCTACAATTCCATAGAATTCCAGGATCCTTGCACATGTGCAGTGACCAGGTGCATGGAAAACAAGGACTTTCAGGGTTGCATGTTGGAGAAGATGTTTGACCATCCTTGGTACATTTGAATTGTTGAAGAAGAAGTCAGTCCAAAGCACCAGGTGGGTTAACTAGGAGAAGGCAGTCATGTCAACATGCCAAAGCATTTCTTCATTATCAATTTCAAGATGTGTGAGTCTAGCAAATGTGTTCACCATGACCATGGAAGACTTAGTGAGTGATGATCTGGTCTTCAAACAAAGTGCTGTAAGTGAGAGAGTATGTAGGACATGGTGTATAGATGTAAGATCAGGAAGGATGTGGTCAGTGTGATTGTGTGATATTATGCAAAGGTTTGTGATGTCTTTGCAGAGCAATGGGATTTCAATTATGATAGTATACTTGATACCATTGCAAAGAAACATAGCTGTGGTTAGTGATAAAGGCTTGATGTGCATTTCCTGAATGTGATAGCATTTTACAAATCAGGATGCATGATATTCATTTACCAGGACAACCTTAGTATACAGTAATCATTTGTACTTGTAGATGGATGATAAGCAAACATAGAATGGATTTAATGTGACATTGAACACTCACAGGATGTACAGTGGCTCAAAAAACTGTCCGCATGTTTTGACATTTTTCACTATCTATGATATTGTGTGAGAACAAACAAATGCCTCAAGGACATGGTTATACCACATTGTAGTATGGCTTCAGGGCTTTCACTTGAGCCCTACACCGTGGGAATCGGTGGAGATATGATGGAGATACAAGGCTCACAAAATGGTGACTCATGCGGACAGTTTTTTGAGCACATATTAAAACTATATAAATCATCATTTATGACACCATAACAATCATGCCACCATTAAATAAATTATAAAGTGGTGTCATTATGTCATTTTAAAACCATATCTAACTATACAAACCAAAAATTTCCATATGTCATGGTTATATTCACCATGAAAGCCACCCCCCCTGCTCAAAGGGATAATATCCTCTCTCTTTCCTATTCTGGCCTCTCTGCTTGTCAAATTTCCTCTAGAACTGGAGTATCCAAGTCCACTGTGGCCAAGTTCATCAAAGAAAGTCACACAGACAAGGAAAACTTCTGTGAAGGGCGTCTATCCAAGCTCACCTCTACTGATAGGAGGGCTATTATTCAACATATCACTACAGGAAAGGCTGATAATGCTGTCCAGGTCACCTATTACATCAATTCACCATCACATTCCCTGTCTCTTCACACACTGTGAGAAACATTCTCAAGACAGCTCATCTCAGGTCAGTAACAAGGAAGAAAAGGCTCTCCTCTCTATCACACATATGCAGAGAGGACTAGCACCCTTCTTTTTTAACATATATACCTTGCCATCTGACCCAATCCTATTTATTGTGGTCTTATATGATCATATAACATGCTTCCAGTCCATGTAATCCAATTCTGATGGGCTAAGGCAAAGGTTAGTCATCTCTGTTTATGTGTGATAGAGAGGAGAGCCTTTTCTTCCTTGTTACTGACCTGAGATGAGCTGTCTTGAGAATGTTTCTCACAGTGTGTGAAGAGACAGGGAATGTGATGGTGAATTGATGTAATAGGTGACCTGGACAGCATTATCAGCCTTTCCTGTAGTGATATGTTGAATAATAGCCCTCCTATCAGTAGAGGTGAGCTTGGATAGACGCCCTTCACAGAAGTTTTCCTTGTCTGTGTGACTTTCTTTGATGAACTTGGCCACAGTGGACTTGGATACTCCAGTTCTAGAGGAAATTTGACAAGCAGAGAGGCCAGAATAGGAAAGAGAGAGGATATTATCCCTTTGAGCAGGGGGAGTGGCTTTCATGGTGAATATAACCATGACATATGGAAATTTTTGGTTTGTATAGTTAGATATGGTTTTAAAATGACATAATGACACCACTTTATAATTTATTTAATGGTGGCATGATTGTTATGGTGTCATAAATGATGATTTATATAGTTTTAATATGTGCTCAAAAAACTGTCCGCATGAGTCACCATTTTGTGAGCCTTGTATCTCCATCATATCTCCACCGATTCCCACGGTGTAGGGCTCAAGTGAAAGCCCTGAAGCCATACTACAATGTGGTATAACCATGTCCTTGAGGCATTTGTTTGTTCTCACACAATATCATAGATAGTGAAAAATGTCAAAACATGCGGACAGTTTTTTGAGCCACTGTAGGTCCATCTGGAAATCTGAATCCAGAATGCTGCAGGCATGGAAGAGTATGACAAAAGAGCTGTTAAATTGGGTAGAGATACATGGTACATCACCCATGTGACTATGAAAGCTCTGAACAACAGTCAACTGTTACACCAGAGCAACCACTAGGCACCACATGAAATAGTGTTATAAAAGGAACTAACATGTCAGGCAACTATGGGTGTAGCAAGGAGCTGGACGGAGTCACCTGTGATATCAAAGGGGGGCAACAACTGCAACCCTGCACAAGGAGTAATGACAAGGAGATGGAGAGCAATAAACAAGACCTGATACATCACATGACTGTTGATGACAGCAGGATGCCTATAAAGGTGCTAAGTGCAAGAGTCACCTATTGTCATATGCCATTCTGGACTCTCAACTCTAAATCCACTTCTCTAGATATCTGGATCTCCAATGATCTAATCTATATTTATCTTCCTTCTGGAATCCAAACCCTATATCAGCGCCCAACCCCATTTAGACTTCCCCTGTCTCTGGACTCCAGTTAACTATGCTTCCCTTCTGATTACTGATCTGTTACATACATTTCATTTCTGGTATTCATTATTGGTGATCTATCCTACTTACTAATAGACTTTGCATATGCTTCATACATAGCCTTTGTGTTTGCTGACTGATTCCTATATGATATCTACAGTATATAAACCTCCTGTAACTCTTGGAGATACTTGAGTTCACATATTATCTTAGTTCCTGCTCATTCTTGTGTCCTCTGGACTTAAGTTAAGTCTCTTGTCATCATCCGAGTCTTAAAATTATATCCTAGACTATATCTCCAGCTCTAGTTCAAGTTAATGTGGACTAACTTGAGCCATTCTTGACCATTGGAATTTGCCACTTTACCTAAGACCACAACCTACTCCAGTCTCAACCACCAATATATAAGATTTTTTGAGCATGATGGTTTATACTGTTGAGCTCACTGTCTTTGATCCCCACAATTCTTTGAGCCTCCAAGAGAGACATTCTGTACCATTCATGTAGCTCATTGAACCTTCCTGCATATGTTATGTTAAACATGGGTGCTTCCTACATCTACATCTACCTTGCTGCTCTGGGGTGAATGGATAATTCAACTTGACACCTTCATTTTCAGAATCTTCTGGATGTTCATCTTCATTGATCTCCCCACCTGCTTGAGCTAGCCCCATGAGCCTGTCTGCTAATCCCTGGAGCAATCTGATGTTGCCTGTGGTGTATCCCTGTTTCTGACCTTCTGTCTCAATATGCAGGTATTTGTCAAACATCATGGCCACTTTGACATGTTAGGATAAAGTTATTGGCTGCAATCACTGAAGCCATATATTGGAGATGGTTTGCTGCTGTGTCCTTCTGCACAGCATAGTTGTATGTCCATATCTTGATTGTGGTTTTCCTGTGCCCTGGCCCAGGTGATGTGCTAGCAATTGTGCAGTGGCCATTGAGATCATACCCCTGAAACTCATTTCCCATGTGTTTTCAAGGACTTTTGTATTGACGGCATCACTGTCTTTGATGTGTGACATCATTTTCAAACCTTATTGATCCCATGGCAACTTCTATAGTCATTGTTGATCTGTGTAGTGATATTCTATTCTTCAGATACATTGAAACATTGAAGGTTGCTAACTTACCCCCTCATTTCAGCATGTCTATTTCCACTTCACACCTTTTTTCAAGGACTTTTAGTATTGTATCTGATTTCAGACCTTACTGGTTCCATAGCAACTTTTATAGCCATTGTCAGTTACAGACTCTATTCTTCAGTTGATGATTACTTCAAACACTTACCCCCTTGATGATTTTTCCCAATGCACCTCTCCTTGTAAACCATTCCATACTTTTAGGTTATAAGTTCAGTATAGATATTTGGTTCTGCAAACTATCATCATGTGTTAAGAACCATGCTCAAGGGAGAGAGAGACTGACTCAGAGGGGTTTGGCCTCAGCTCATATGCTGTGCTCCTTACCTGAGTATGTGCCTTTCATGTCAGATGAAGTCTGATGATGATCCAACAAAGTCTGAAGGACTTCCAGAGGCTGGCCACTCTGGTGGAGTGCAAAAGAATTTCCAGAGAAGCATGGGAAACATCTGGAGGAGCACAGGAGAGTTCTGGAGGAGTACAGGAAATACTCAGAGGAGTTCTCACTGCACAGGAAGTGAAGAGACCACAAGGTAATACCTCTTATCAGCGCCAAACCCCATTTAGACTTCCCCTGTCTCTGGACTCCAGTTAACTATGCTTCCCTTCTGATTACTGATCCATTACATACATTTCATTTCTGGTGTTCATTATTTGTGATCTGTCCTACTTACTAATAGACTTTGCATATGCTTCGTACATAGCCTTTATGTTTGCTGACTGATTCCTATATGATACCTACAGTATATAAACCTCCTGTAACTCTCAGAAATACTCCAGTTCAAATATCATCTTAGTTCCTGCTCATTCCTGTGTCCTCCAGACTTGAGCCAAGTCTCTTGTCACATTCTGAGTCTTAGGATGATATCCTAGACTACATCTCCAGCTCTACCTTAGGGTAGTCTATCCTTTGTTAGTTTCTAGTCCAGACTGTGTCTGGATTAGTCTTATCCACTTGTCCAAGTAACATCCGGATGTCCATCAGATTTATCTCATGTTTCAGATCTGGACATCCATTGTCTGCCCTAGTCAAATCCTGGAAACTCTGGATGACTGTTCTAGCCCCTGGAAATTAAGGACACATACTTGGGAAAGGGGCACAGCATACAAGCTGAGGCCAAGCCCTTGTGATCCAACCCCCTTGAGCACGCGACCTTAACACCCTAAGGTAATCTCTCTACAGAAGACAGGATGGAAGGATAGGAGGTCAGGAGGTCAGGCACACAGGAGGACAGGAGGTCTGGAAGGAATAGGGGCTACATTGGACTTTGTCCAATAGGACAGAACTTAGGTGAACCAAAGTCCAGGAGAAGATTAGGCAAGTGTCATATCCTATATGCCAGACCTAGATCCCATAATATTCCCATGCCTTCCAAGCCTATTTCCAGACCCCATATCTAACTCATTCCCAGATCCCATTCCACTGTGTGCTCCACACCTCAGCAGGATTAGCTCTGCTATGGATTTACCCCTGAGCTCCAGACCTCCAGATCTTCAATACTAGCCTGATCTGTATACCCCTATCCTGTCCACCATATGCACATTCTGTCTAGCAAGACATCCAGACTTTACCTCCTCTCAGATTCCAGACTACATCCACCACCTCACATATCTTAGTTCTGGTTCCACCTTGCCTTCTGGATTCCCAGATCTCTGGACCTCTGGATATTGACTGTTACTACCTCCAGACCTATTCCCACCCTTCATCTGAGGTCCTGCACCTATCCCCATTTAGGCATCTCCGCCTTTCTGGTTCTTGGTTATTTCTGTTTCCATCTTGCTGATTGATCCTTGTACTAGTTGTATCTCCAAGTTCATGTCATATCCCACAATCTGGACCTAGATCCCATAATATTCCCACGCCTTCTGGGCCTGTGTCTGGATCCCACCTCATATCCAACACATTCCTAGTTCTCCCTCCACTGGCTGCTCTTGCCATATCTGCATATCTGGATCTCAGATCCAATCCACATCTTATCCCCATCCAACATCTCATCATCCAATCTGCCCACTTGCCTGGTCTGGTCCACAATTCATCTGAATCCACAACCAGCACTCATCTCCTTTCAGTAATCCCCTAACTCCAGTATTTCAGTTATCTGTATATCCATCCTGCTCACTGATCTGTTACCTATGCTTCATTTCCATTTCATTATTTGTGATCTGTTTCTACTTACCAATAGACTATCCATATGCTTCATACATAGCCTCAGACCCTGCTGATTGATCATTCCATTAGATACCTATAGTATATAACCTCCTGTAAATCTCTGTAACACCTCAGTTCAAATATCAACTTAGTTCTGCTCATTTCTGTACTCTGGACCTGAGTATCTCTACTCTCATCACCCTCCAAGACTTAGGATTGATTCCTATAGTCTATCCATATCCGCCCCTGTCTACAACAGTCCATACTGTTAGCTTCTAGTCCAGACTCGTCTGGGTTAGCCTTACAATACTTATTCTACATCCAGAAGTCATCTGGATCCACTGCACTACTTGTCCAACCCTCTGGACACACTAGTCTTGTCCTCCTGAAATAAGGGGCAATACTCAGGTAAGGGGCACAGCACATGAGCTGAGGCCAAAGCCCTTAGGATCCATTTAGCCTTGAGTACAGCCTTAACAGCTCTACACCATAGCAGGATCAGCTCCACTGCAGAATTACCCCTGAGCTCTGGACCATTGGATCTCCACTGCTAGCCTGTTCTGTATCCCCCTATCCTGTCCACCCTATGCACACTCCATCCAGCAAGACATCTGGACTTCACCTCGTCTCGGATTCCAGACTATATCCACCTTCTCATATTCCAGTCCTGTATCCACCTTGTCTTCTGGATTCCCAGATCTCCAGACCTCCAGATATTAATGCTGGACCTATTCCCACCCTCTGTCTGATATCCTGCACCTATTCCCATTTAGGCATCTCTGCCTTTCCAGCTTTTGGTTACCTCCTGTTCCGTCTTGCTTATTGATCCTTGTACGAGTCTTTATCTCCGAGTTCATCTAGTTATGTTCTGTCTTACTTACTAATGTGTTTCCACATGCTTGTACATAGCCCTGCTCCTTTGCTTACTGATCCCCTCAGATATTGTTCAGTATATAACCTCTGTAGATACTCCTGTAGTTTCCTCAGTTTGAATATCATCTTAGACTTTGTTCTACTTGCCCAATCCTCTCTTGGACTTTGGTCCACCTAAGTCTGTCCTATCCATCAGGCCTAGGGATTGATTCCCTAGGCTGGAGCTCTGCCTTTCTGGCACTTACCCTCTTTCCAGACTTAGGTCTAATCCCTGTCCCTCCAACTCTACCTTAGGGTAGTCTACCTCTATTTGTTTCTACATTGGACTTCATCCAATGTAGCCCCAGTTCCTTCCATACCTTTGGACGTCCTGCCCTCCATACCTTTGGATGTCCTATTCTCCTGTCCTTTGTACCCCTGGACATCCTGTCCTTCTGTCCTCCATCCTCCTGTCCTCCAGACCTTCAGACCCTCAGACCTCCTATCCTTCCATCCTGTTTCCTCTAGAGGTATTACCTTGGGGTCTCTTCACTTCCTGCACAGTGAGAACTCCTCCAAGTATTTCCTGTACTCCTCCGGAAATCTCCTGTGCTCCTCTGGATGTTTTCTGCACTTCTCTGGAAGTTCTCCTGCACTCCACCAGAGTAGCCAGCCTCTGGAAGTCCTTCTTCATTGGACCATCATTGGACTTCATTTGAAATGAAGGGCACATACTCAGGTAAGGGGCACAGCATACGAGCTGAGGCCAAGCCCCTCTGAGTCAGTCTCTCTCTCCCTTGAGCACAGTTCTTAACAAGAGCACTCTGTAATGAATTACATTTTCCTGATGTGGTCAATGTATTGATCCTCCTCATCATCATCTTATGCAGAAAACAGATATCCCTTGTATTCATTTACATAGCTTACACATTCTTGCTGGACCACTGTGGTACCTTGTATCTCTATTACAAAAAATTTGTGTGCCTCTACCCATTCAAACACTCAAATTGTACCTTAACGAGGAATCTCTGGCTTTCACTCCCAATTACTTGTCTGCAATCCTGTATATTACTCAACAATTTGTTGCTATAGATTGCCTGGGACTGAGCTTTTATCATGGATTACTGATTTCTGGAAGTTTTGATGTCCCATTGGATGAATATGGAACTATTCCTGTGAAGAAACTCATGATTTATCTACCACATTAGTACAAATATTCAGATCAATACCTCTTGGCAAGTGCCACATGCAAAGCTACAATCAGGGTTAAACTAATGTTATGTGCATATAGCTCTGCTGCAGTCCTTGGCTAGGAGTCTTCAACCATGTTGAAGTTTATCTCAGACCTGGAAACATAACATCATCTGAGTGGCATGAACTGAAGGACACTTTTTACTGCCCAGAGCATCCCTACCATTTGGATATCAGCAGTTATTTATGACATATGGTACCAGGTCTCCACTGATTATCCTCCTACTTGTACTTACTTGTACTTATCCAATATCTAGCTGGTCTCATATGTTCCCTCATCCTTACTTCAATACTCAGTTTCCCAAACAATTAAAAGCTGCTACCCATGTAGAATTAACTGCATATGGTAGACAGCAAGAGTAACATACTGTTG